CGGGAGAATCGGCCTTTTCGGTAACGATTCGTTACGACGCGGCCAGGACACGTAAACTCTTGGTAACGCGACGGCGTAACGCATGCAAATTCCTGAACAAATGCGTAATTAGCGTGCCCCGAATCCACCACCACCACCACCACCACCATCGACGCGGAGACGTGTCCTGGGCTGGAATCGTTCGGATCGGGAGGGGTGTAACGGTTTGTACGCGCGCGGAGAGTTGTTAAATCAACGAGAGACGATTCTCGATCGACTCGCCCCCCGTCTCTATTGTTACGTACGTGCCGTTCATGCTAATGCTTCCTCCCTCCCCCTCTCCCCTCCCCTCCCCCGAAAATCGAATGTTTTACAGGCTCATGCATGTTCATATCCGCGCCGGGGGAACAACGACGCCCTTGTCGCCCGCGTTTATTTATTTCGAGGCCTCCGAGATTTTCGCTCCGCACTTTCCCATTATCCCGCCATCGAGAGAGTCAATCATATCGACGAACGCATCTCTCTCCTATTCGATCTCGAATCGCTCGTCGGTTAAACCGCCGTGATCGTGGAATTATACGGGGGGCCACCACCACCATCATCACTGGGCGAATAATCCATTAATAACCGGAACCGAGTGAAATTCAAACTGGCCGAATCACCGGTGATGATAAACGAGAGGAGAGGCTTTTTGGAAAAGTAGCAACGGTAGTTTTGAGCGGCGGTGGAACTCGCTGACGTTAAAATATAGGGGGGTCGCGAAACAGGGGTTATTTAACTCCTCCTCCCCTCTGAAACGAACCTCTTCGCGTTTTTCGAACGAATCTCTTCTCTCAAAAGTCATCCTTGAACCTTGGTGAACGATGCGTCGAATACGACGTGATATCGGCGACGTTGGGAGACAAGAGGGATCGATCGCATCGATTACGCGCGTGGAAGGCGCGTAGAAACGTCTATTCTCTTTCTCTCTCTCTCTCTCCCTCTTCCGTTTACACACGACGGGGGCACCTCGAACTCGCCCCTTTGCCCTGTTGTTCGGCCCGGCTTCATTAACCAGGGCACGCTAATTAATCGAGAGACGGTTGCCAACCGAATCAAGATGGTAACGAAACCGTTTGTTCCCCGTATGGAAACGGGCCGAAGGCGCCTTTGCGTCGGCCAACCATCTGATATTTCCATTTCTACCTGCGCCCGATGCGATATCGCCCGATTTCGATGCCGTTCGGTCGTTACTTTCGACTCGAAGCCAAAGGGAGAGATCGATCGAGAGTGGTTGGTCTCCAATGGTTTGATCTCCAACCGAACCACTGTGCTTCGCCGAAATTTACGGGCCTCGGTCGGAGAAATTGTCGAAATTTTCGCGCCGGAAAAACCGCGATCTGGAATCGATCTAATTGCAAATCGAACGGTGTCGAGGTAAATAAACGGAATCGTTGTTGTAATCGGTATACAACCAGTTCACTCGACATCGTAAATCAAGAGTCATAAAGCGAGTATACGATTGCTTCGTGTACACGTAGAGTTTCTCGAGTTAATTTTCACGCAGGGGAAACGACAAGCTTTCGCTTAATCGCTCCCTCCCTCCCTCCCCTCCCTCCCTCCCTATTCGAGTGTAACATTTTGAACATACGCCTCGGCGCTGTTCACCTGTTAATTCGAAACGTTGCATCGCGCGCGATTTACGATAATTCGCGATAATACGGTACGAATCGAGTAGTCATTCGATTCATTTTTGCGATGAAATAACGTTTCCCGTCTTCTTTAAAACATTATAGTAATACGATGTCAAAATATGGTTATTTCGTGTATCGAGGAGATGCGAAACGTGTATATAATCGCGACGACGGTAAAGAAATTTCGTATAAATGGATCGCGAGGCGAAAAACAAGTTTTCCTCGTTAACGTTATACGTTCCTCGCTCGTCCGTGGCGTTGTAAATATTATCGTCCGAAAAATACGAGTGGCGGGAACTCGTAAAACGCGATAATCCGAAGGGGACACGTGTAGAGGAGCGGCGCTCTTAGACGCCACCATTGAACGATCCTCGACCGAGTAAACGCACCAAACTTTGTTACTTCGCGTCACAATCTCATCATCGCGGCACATTTCCGAAGCTTGGAAAGGGATAGGCTGAAGGAAGATAAGCCGTCCACCGACGAAACGTCGTCACGTTTACGAGGAATTTTCAGGAGGACAGGGCGAAACGGGGGTCGAGGAAATATTGGACGGCGTCATCCCTGTGCGTTGGTCGGACGACGTACGAGTTGTGTCGTTGCACGACAATCGATCGTACGTGTATATATCCGCCCCCTTGGAATTTTGATCGATACCATGTCTCTCCATTCTAATTGCCAACCTTTTTCTCCTCCTCCTCCTCCTCCCCGTTAAATGGTCGCGTTTTCCCCTCCCAGACCCAGGAAAAGTTCGAGAAGATCCGCCGCCGATTCGAATCTTAAGTACATCTGGGAAGGATCTAATCCCTAAGAAGAGAATCGGATAGAAGCATCTTGATTTCGTAGAGCGTATAATTCAAAAGCTTCTACTCCCTCCTCTCTCTCTCTCTCTCGAGTTTTAAGCAGATTACGTCGGGCATTAGCGAGTTTACCGTATTCGAGCGGATTCTCCTAAAACTATCGGGCAACGGAACAGTCACGATCTCTTCCCCCCCTCCCCGAATAATAACATACGAAACTGGGAGGGAGGTAAGTTAACTACGACATGGGCGAAATTAATCGACGTTATCGGGTATCGATGAGCGGTGGCGGCCCCGCTCGTGACTCATTTTCGCGAGGAACACGCCGAGATGAGATCATCGAGCTGGGGCCGCGCCACGCCACCCTTGTGCCACACCCGCCCTCCGTCCGTCGAGCCCGATAGCCGTTCCCAATTCCATCCGAAACGTACGTCGATCGTTATTACATTTCGTAAAGCCACGCGCGTTTCCCGCTATCCTCTAGGATTCCATTAATTGGATCCGGGGTCGGGTTACGGGTTTCTGTTCCACGGGTTGCTGAATCAGAGCAACGGTGTTGTAAGTAGAGCGCGTGCAACGCGCCGGAAACCTATGGTTTCCCTCTCTCCTCCACCGGTAAAGGGGAGAGAAGGTAACATCGAGCTAACATCGTCGGTTTATAACTGTGTGCCTAACTGACAGCCTTTGTAGTGCGATTCGATCGTTTCTTTTTTCTCCTCTCGACCTTCTTCTTAATAGAATCTTTAATAATTGTATATGTTTTTCTTTTTTTTTTTTGAACTAATTGGACGCCTGCAGTTCGATACACCGCCCCTTCGTTCCGTCTATCCTTGCCTGTCTTTCTTCTCGTGTAGCTTGGAAACTTTATCAGGGAGAGGGGTGAGACGATTGCTGTTTTCGTGGAACCCCTTCGGCTGTACGAAGAGTGTACAATACGGGGAAGGCCACGTGTGTCTGAAGGCCGTATGAACGTGAGAAACAAGAGGATCCCCCTACCGGCTTCCTTCTTTTTCGTTTCGCGCAAATTCTCCATTTTCTAAAAAAAAAAAAAAAAAAAGAAGAGGAGAGATTCCCGGCAGTCTCGCGGTTTTATCGAACACAGGAGCGTGTCGCCTCCCTTAGGAGCTGCTTGGGTTTCCGATAAAAGGGAGAGGAAAACGCCTGCCTCTCCCTCGAGCCCTCTCCCCCTGCTTTCGTCGTCTTTGAGGAAGTCTCTCGCGATGCACGCGCGTGAAACACGACTTTGTTCGACGGGGGGGGACAATGACTGGGGAAAAAAGAATCTCTGCGCATCTCCTGAAATCTCGAGAGGAGGAAATCGCGTTCCTCCTCGAGACGATACATCATCTCGGTTGCCTTTTATTTCCCGTGGCCATCCCCGGAAAAACGCGTGTCGAGAAAGTGGTGGTCGGAGGAATTCCGTCTAGCACTCCGGCTGAATCCATTAGCTCGCGCCCATTAATAACCCCCGTAATGATGAGCGATGAGCAAGGAAGAGAGAATCGCCGAGTCGTTTTCTCCTAGCGCGAAAAGGGGTTGGTTGGTGTGCACTTACGCCGCGAGACGCGCACGCTCGTCAACAAGGGAGCCTTTGATAAATACTGCTTTCCTTGGACACCGGCCAAACGCGATATTCCTCTCCCTTCTCTTCCAGACATTTAGCCACGGTGTCTCTATCGAGAAACAAAACTGGGACCGGAGGTGCTATGTGCATCTTCCTCGAGTTAGTTAGCGTCGACCACCGTTGAAATTGAAAATACAGAATTTTCCACGGTCGCGGGAGGATCGTGGTCGATCGAGCTTGGCGTCTCTCCAACGTGTCCCCGAAACGTGGACCGGATAATGGAGAGGGGGAAGGTTTATCGACGCCGTGTTAAATCCCCAAAGCGATCCTCCTTTGAACATCCATCCCTTCTCTCAGCCGCGTCTCGCGCTCACAATGCCTCGGTCGATCGATCGATCCGCGACAATGGGCCGGGCCCATGGATGGAGCGGAAGTTTCACCCGCGCGAAAATCACTTTTCCTTTTCACGGAGAAGGGGCGACATCCCCTTCGTGACGCGAGCCAAGCGCGCGATACGAAACATTCCCCGCTTCTGCTTTTTAGCGAGACATTTTTACGATTAATCCTTGCTTGCTTACTTACTTTTGGACGCGTCGCAAAAAAGTTTTTAGCGGCGTGATTCTTCGAAAGCGAAGAACGCGAAGTTGCAACGGGTCGATAACGCTGGTGGACGAGAATTGCTGTCAACCAAGTTCTTCCCTATCGCGAATTCCTGAAAGTTTTAACGATAGTGACGGTTCGTTGGAGCGGATCGATTAATCTGAACGATGTGCGGTGCAGCCGGTTTCACAGTCGGTGCACGTGCTCCCAATGTTCGATCACTGGTATTCACCTTGACGGAACGGAAGGTTCCGCGCAGACACCGAAACCTAGAAATTAGAATATGAATAGTGGCGCACAATGTATTATTGGATGAATTATATTCGGGGGATGGCGATTATTGAGCCGTCGTCTAACGAAGGATGCTTGCTTCTTGTTTTGCAGATGATCGACGCGTCGTACCACACGAATCCATCGCTTCAAAGCACCGCCTCATCATCACCTGCGCGGTGGTACTTCTGCTGATGGCAGCGATCGTGTCCGTCGTTTTTTGGAAGTGAGTGCTTACCTTTTTTTTTTTTTTTCTATATTTTTATTACATACGATGATAACGATACACATTTAAAAGTTTCGTAAGAAATTATGTTGACGATTACGATTGAAGAATGTAAAATAACACACGTGTGACGGCGCAGTGGAATCGATCAAGCGTATAAAAAAACGCGCGCGTGTAACAGGGAAGAGGGAAAAGCGTATAAAAGTTTGATTCCCGTGTATAAAACTCTCTGCAGGGTCGTGGCGGACACCGTGTGACACGGTGGTAATAAAGACTAGGTTTCATTCCGAGCGGACATCGTAACGTTCGGAGGTTCTCGAGGTCGATCGGGTTGTAACCATATTTCAAAGGTTCGAGTGGCTATTCGCAGTTCGAAGGAGGGGCAGGGAAAAGGCTGGTAGACACTTTGATCGAAAGAGGGAAGAAAAAAAAAAAAGAAAGAAAAAGGCATCATTGGCATTCTAGTGGCCATTAAATTGGCGAAAAAATAGACCATTTCGCATCACCGTTCTGGCGTGTGAATGACATCATTGCCTCTTTACGACCAACTTCCGGAATCCTTCCTTGTTTGGCCTCGTTCGCCTCGTTCGTAGGAAGTTAGGTAACTGCACGTTACGAGGTGCATAGGAAAAATGAATCTTAATGCGTACAGGAAGCGAAGGTGATTGTTATTCCGGTGAACGGTTAATTATCCTAGAATAAATCGTACCGTTACAATCATCTAGCGTGCTCTCTGCTAACGGTTAAAATATACGTGCAGGATGATTCGTAACTTTTAGCTCGAATAACGCTTAACAATCTACCAAAGAAAAGAAATTTCGAAATGAATAATTTTGAAAGTTGATTCTATTTTCAAATCGATTCCTCAAAAGATTAAGACCAGTTTTTCCTTTTTATTTTCTATTATAATTAATTTTACGTATATATATATAGAGAGTATAATATCTTAATACTCTTTTTGCTGCAGAGTATTTACCATAGGAACGATTTTTGATGCGTGACGAGCGATCGAGGGCCGAGAGTGAATGTTAGCGCGTCGGTTGCGCGTGCATGATAAGTGGATAAAAAAACAATTTTGGATTTTTTGACAAAAATTAACACTCTACGACTCTAAAACTTTTTTTTTTTTTTTAACCATTCCATATAAATTCGATTCTACGTTCCTATCGAGAAAAATCAGCTCAGAGTCTCGATCACAAGTTTCAGACAAAGGGACCACAGAGAAGGAAGTAAAGGAGCGTTCAATGGGTAGCTAAATTAGCCAGAAATAGGGCATTGAAAGAAATTGGGCGTGCGACGAGGGAAAGAGAGAAAGAGAGAGTACAGCGTCGCACTGATAATCTCTAACACGATGGATAGCGCATAGCCCCCTTTTGTGCCCGCGTAAGCACAAGTTGGCCACGATCGGGCCTCTTACCGCGGAAGAAATATGCATCCACCGCAGAAACGCGGCTCGAAGATTTACAAGTTCGCCCGGGTTCCCCCCGTTCGGACATTGTCTCTCTTTCTCTCTCGTTGCCTTATAACGCTCGTAGCGGTAAAAAATGAAATACGACGGGAGAAAAATGGTCGCAGGGGATTGGCCCTGCCACGATACCATCCCCGTCTACGAAGAAGGTAGAAGAATTTCGCGCGACAACGCGTGAAATTTCGTTCGAAATCCAGTTTAAAAGCGTTTCCTAACATTTTCCTAATGATTTTCCTTTTCTTTTCGAAAATTCTTCTATTCCTAAATCGAATAGGTTGATCGAAGATTTTAAATTAATTCGAATTGATGGAGGAGGGGATGAAAAAGCGGAGAGTCTGGCAAAGAGGCAGCGACGACTAATTTCACGCGCGCCACGGGGTGGGGGGGGGAAAGCACGCGGCGATCGATGATGCGACGATCGATGAACTCGGGCTCCGTAGTAGGATCGGCACCGTGCCAAGACGATTTTGGATCGCACAGAGGCCCCGTATTCAGGATCCACCACGGCGTGTCGTATTTTTATCGAGAGGCGAGCCTTCTCGAAGGTTGACCGCGCAGGTCGTCACAATGCCGGCCCTGTCCCGCTCCCCTTTTCCAACCGGTTATCATTGTACAATCATTATCGCTCGAGCACGGTATCTCTTGTAATTCGTGTATCGTGTTACGTCACACGTTTCTTTCTTTCTCCTCCTCCCTATCTCCATTCGTCAAAATTTCTCTGAAATTTTACTCAATAGGGGACGAACTTTTTTTCCACGCATCGCGTAAGCTACAAGCTAGTTTTTATTATTCCAAGATCGGCCTCGCGTGGATAATTTGTTGGCCGGGTCCAGAAACGACGTCTGTTTGCACAACCGAGTGCCTGTGTGTAGCCCATAGTTTTTTTCGGTTTATCGTAATAGTCGGCCATTATCGTGGGCCACAAGCGTGGTATCTCAAGTGTTACCGACTCTCTCGGTCTCGAGATCTCTGTCTTTGTGGGTGGTATACACACACACACACATCGCTCTTCCTCGAGCTTCTTCTTCCTCTTCTTCTCGAACGGCCGTGTCCTGCCGCCGCGCCTTGCACGATCCTCGCGGAGAAAACGTGTACGCGTTTATACTTCCTCGTGCGATAAACCTTGCAATTCTATCGAGCTCGCGAGAAATCGTTCGACGACGATTCTCTGTTAGTTTATTTATTTATTAATCGCGGTAAGAAATTTAGTCGGGAATGGAGAATCCGTCCGGTTTCGGTTTCGATTTCGGTCCAATTGGATATTATTTTTGTTTTCCTTTGGGGGATTTCCCTTTGAGATTATAATTGATACATCAATTATACCGTTGTGTAATTGGTATCAAATACGGTTGTCGTTACGCGGAGTTGCGCGGAACGGAATCGTGGGCTCGTTATGTGTCTATTCATTAATTTGATCGATAAACAATTATTATTAAAAATTGGCAAACATTTATTATTACGTGTGATGTATCCGTTATTTATTAATCATAGTCCGGATTACAATTAAAAACATTTCGGTCCATCCAATTTGAAGAAATATTACTTTTGACACGTTATATTCGACGTTTATTTTATTTTTCTTTTAAATACTTGCAAAATTATTTCCCCCTTTAAATAAATTTATCGAACAAATTAATTATAAAAGTATGTAATGAGTTCACGTATTTATAATCCATACACTTGTTGTCTATTTTTGAATGCCACGAATTCGAGTTTCAACTCGTCATTGTTAAACGTAACAATTCCCCATCGTGCTCGAGCGCTATCAAAATTACGTAAAAAAGAAAAAAAAGGAAAGAAATGAATCGAAATTTTCGAAAAAATTTAATCGAAACGATGATATTCGATTACGTCCATTAATAAATTTGTCGGCGATCGGTTCGAAAGAAAGACACTTCTGTCCCGTTCTTGTCCCACTCCCACTGTTTAAAACAACAGTGTCGAATTATCGCGAATTGGCTTGAACGGTTGCGACGATGGCGCATCGGGTCGAGCAGGAAATAGCATCGCAGCTGAGGGGTAGAGGGGGCGGGAGAAGGATGGAACGAGCGCGTATCACTGTGACGGGACGAGGATAGCCTGATTACGATGGAAGCGAACACGGCTCTGATTAGCATACAAACTATGCGTGGTCGTGTTGGTTCTCCGCGTTTGCTCGGAACGACTCGAGAGCGGTCCTCTCTCTCTCNNNCTTCTCTCTCTCTCTCTCTCTCTCTCTCTCTCTCTCTCTCTCTCTCTCTC